GATAACAAATCAACCTAAATTATACGTTTGTCCAACTCTAACCTAACCTTAACTCAGGCCCAAGTGATATCTAATGCAAATATTGATCTGAAGCAATAAAAATACATGTAAATTTGGTTGCATTGTAAAACAGACAAATGCATATAAATAGAGCATGAAAAATATAGCAAGACTCTTAATATGATTATTAAGCAATATCATAAAATGCTTTATGTTCATCATCCTTTTCAACTACAATTCCATGTTGATGATAATATCCAACCCATAAGGTTCCACTAGCGACCTCCATCTTGACTGATTTTGATGGTTATCTTATGCTTATCCTTTTCAACTCCAATTCCAATTTCATTAGGTAGCAATATTCAACGTTATATATTCTACTGGTAACTTTTATCATGAATAATTGCCTTATGAACGTCCTTTTAACTCCAATTCCATCAAGATAATAATATCCAACGTTATATGTTCCATTAACGACTTCCATCTTCGCTGATGTTTAATAATTTCCTTATGTTCATCCTTTTCAACTCCATTAGCGTTTGTTATCCTTGCTGATTTATGATAATAATGACTGCCTTATATTTCCCCTTTCAATTCCAATTCTATGTTGGTAACAATATATATTATACTAGAAATAGCTTGTCTTAAAACTAATGAAGAAAAAAAGAATTTGATTCATAAACGACCATTATACTTGCAGGCTAAAAAAAAAAAATAAAATAAAAGAGAGATGAATAGCATATATTGGGTCAAAGTTTACAATGAAACCAATGGAATTCCAAATGGAATTTAAGAAATATCTATCCGTTGGATCTTTATTGTCAACCCTGTCTTGAGTGCCCCGATTAATAATAATCACCATATTCACAGCTAAGCAAATGTGAATAAGCAAAACAAATGAAACATAAATAGCTAACAAGTGACTGCCCAGAATTAAATACCAGGAAAACGAAGTTATACAGCAACAAGCCAAAGCCAGAAAGCGCACCCCAATGAAATTACAACCGGCAAGATAAGGCTGCACTACAATAGAAAGGCGATGATCACAAAACTAACCATCACACATTATGACAAAATTATAGCAGGCAAGCAATAACCAAAATAACAAGCATAGCTAACAAACTCACAGTTAAAACAACGATCACCAAATAGATAACCGGTAAGATAAAGAAAACCCATAAAAATAACGATTACAAGATTACCGCGAAAACCGCGAACCCTTAATTATTGCCTAAAAAAGATATTTTCTAAATTTAATTTTATAAACAATGTACGTATTATAGTCAAATTCAGGAGCGGATACGTATGATACCAGTATAATACCGTACGTATAATGCTGGTATAATACCAATAATAGAAATGAGTTAGCTAATTAAATTACTTTATCTGAGCATACGGTATTATACCTGGTATCATCCTTTCTATTATACATGATTTTAAATGATTTTAATTTTATTTAAATTCCTTGTGCTCAAAATAAGTCCGAAATCAATTAATTGGATGAGCAAAATGTTAAACTTTTTTAAGATATGAAGTAAATCAGTTTAACCAATAAAATAGATGTCCAATATGTTTCATCACGCCTTAACGCGTCTTGACTTTTAAATATATATATGATAACTTCACCAATCTTCAATTCAACCATGACAGTAGAAAGTGAAGATTCAAACATCTTGGAGAGGTTATGTCGAAAATATAGTACAGAAAAACTAATTGAACATAAATTTTGCTATATATTAGTAATGGAGTGTTCCAGTTGATAATAAACATATAATCCACTCCGGAGCGGGCTATATGTTTTATTATAGTCTGGAGTACTCCATTAACAACCCCATATATTAGTGTTAGGGTTCGAGTAAACTTTAATTTTATTTTTCACTTGATTTTAAAGTTTGATTTGACCATTGCGAATTGACGATAGGGTGTTGTAATACTAATTATAACTGCTATCATAAAAATCTGGAACATCTAAAAATTTTCTTTTTTCCAAAATCATCGCTCTAGTAACTACATCGTTGTTCCCGAAACATAAATCTGGAGACAGCCGAAAAGCTGGACTATTATTAGAACGAGATCGAAGAGATTTTTGGAAAAGTGCAAATTTTTAGGTGTCTCGATAACACGGAAAACCTAAAATTATAATACTAATTCATCTGTTCGTTGGGCATTTATAGCAAAACCGACTATAATAGCAATCAATCTTTTTACTAAAATAATTATTTATTTTAGTGAAAAATTATATCTATATTTGATTATGTCCAGGTACTATTATGCCTAGATTTGATTGCCGATAGTAAATAACTTCGAAAAAAATTAAAATTACTTTATTTATTAAATTGTATCTTGAACACACAGTATGTTATGATAAAACGTTGCCAGGCATCGGAATAAATTTTGAATCCATATGATCAACATTGCCAGGTGTTGGAATAAATTTTGAATCTAGCGCTAGGTATTTTTTATATACATAATAACCGACAAAAGATAAGATTGCACCGACTACAATACCACCTATAGCAATACCAATATACGTTCCAATATCAGATGAATATACTATAGTAGTTTGATTAATATTAGCTGTAGTAGTTGGATTAGGGGTAGAGGGCACAACTTCATCTGTGTTAGCTGGTGAGTGAGTAGTTGGTTGAGCACTTGCACTAAATAAATCTTGAGTAGTTGAGGGGTTAGGTGCGACAGGTCCTAATTGAACGACAGCGAAAGTTCCAGAATACTTATCACCAGACCCGTCGTTGAGAGCAAAGTAATAAGTGCTCGGGGGAACATTGATTGTCCACTGGTAAGATTGAGCAGAGAGGTTTATATTAGAGCTAATTATGACTATTTGATTAGTTGTGTTTCCGATAACTCTTAAAGTGCCTGGAATCGGATTCTCTTGTGGGGTGTATGTCCAAGTGATTGTAATAGTGGCACCCACTGCAACATAACCGGCAGGTGTATTAACTGTTTGAACCTCTGAAAATACAAGTATATACAATGTTAAAATTGCTTGGTATATTAATTGGAATTGCTTGGCCACTTTTTATGCTCCTTAGGATGTCATGTTGGTTACCCTGCTTTTATTCGTTTGTAATTATCTATACGGAATTCTTTAATCAAGCAAACATTTATAATTAAAATTAAGAGGCTGGATGAGCTGAACATTACTATTTGGCTTATAATTATAATCGCAATTATATTGTAATACAGCGAATCTTTTTATTAAATTCACTTTAATAACATGCAAAAAAAGAAATTTTGGTAACTTACGGGCCGAGATAGACTTAATAAAAACCAAGAGTAATATAAGATAATACATTAGTCGTGACATTATTATTTATGTTATATTTAGCCTTAGTTATTCGTTATTGTAATAAAAAAATTTAAAAATGAACTTTCTAATTCGAGATACATTTAAATAAAAAAATCATTGTAACTATAATGCTTTGTTTATTAAAAATGCCACATAATGCACTTAAATTTTATAAATTTATAAATATGGAAATTTTAATTTATTGCACGATGCAATGGATAATACTAAAATGCACCTACGTATGATGTTTTTACATACATTATCTCAAAAACTGGCTAATAAAGCAGTGTGAGGTGTTCTAAGTTCTACACCTCCAAAAACCTTTTCAAAACTCTAATTTTAACTACTGTATAAGTACTAACCCTAGCAAAAAATTTGTTGGTAGCTCATCCAAAAATTAGGGTTGGGGGCACGGGAAAATTTTCGGGCATGCCCCCAAAATTTTTTATGTGACAACTTTTTACATATATAAATTTTTTGAAAAAGGGGGCATGCCCCCCGAAAGGCATGCCTCGTGCCCTGTGCCCCAACACTACCAAAAATATTCCGGAACGTGATTTTTAGCCAATTAGATCGATGGATCAGGTGTAACGTAAAAATCAAAACAATCAAATTTACATCTTTAAAGGTTAGGATTAAGGCCAAGAGAGGGCATAGTTGATACCAAAATTTTGCATAGAATTTTTTTGTCAAATTATTGGCGATTTTTTGAAAAAAAAATACAACTACCTATAACAAATGATTTAAAGCTTTTCAATTATATGTGTAGGTGTACCTGTTTGTATATGAATTAAATATTAGAACATTAAGATTATCTATACATTTAATCTAGATCAAAAGTTAATATAACTTATTAATTTTTTATAGTGTTTGAAGAAATTCGTAAACTGAAACTTCCTTATGCAATATATTTTATAATTTTTCCTCCAAAAGATCAGTCATATGATCATTATATTACTTGGATTGATAAAAACATGAACAAGGCAACGATTAATTGTACATTTTATAGAACTTTAGAAATCATGAATAATAATCAAAATATTTTCAGAGGAAATTTATAATACTATTCACAATCTTTTAAAAAGTAAAAAAAAAGTAAGTTTTTGAAGTATACTTTAAATAAATTTTTTTTTTTGAAGTGTAGTTAGAATGGTGACTCTTTGTCAGACTTCTTGTGCTCTTGATGACTACGCCTCAGAAAGGGACAATCACGAGTAGTTGAATTGGATGCTGTATCTTGCTAACTACGTCTTGGCTAGAGATGTACCTCGTGCAAGATAAACATAGCATATATTCGCACACCTTGCATGAGGTTACATCATGTAAGTCGTGCAATTTTATGTGACTTATGTGATAAATTTTTAATGAAAAGTATGAGGCCTTTATTATACATCAAAACATAGTAGGATTATATAACCTATTTGCAAATTGTTTATCAGAAGCAAAATGATATAATTTTTTATATTTATGTTAGCACAAATATAGTCAAGGCAATTAGTCGTTATAATAATATTTTAGTTAATGTTTTTTAAATGCCTTAAAGAAACTATATAAGATTTTTTTTTTTGTTCTAGCTATATCTGCTGCAAGCTAATAACATATATTTTATAGTTTTTAAGTAATAAGAAAAATTTATCTTGTTCTGGAGGTTGAACTATATTATAAGTTTAGTATTCAAATTGGCACTAAATGAAAATATATTCTTGATTGGTTAATATCTTGCAAATTTTTAATATTAAAAATCTGTATTCGAGATATTAGTGGAGATCTAAATTAAAAATAAATCGATATTGCTACAAAATCAAAATGGTAATATCAATTTGGATATAATATTTTTTTTAATTATTACCTTATTCATTACTTTTGTCACTTTTATCATTTTCATTCAAATTTACTAGCTCATTATCACTTTCATAAAGATTTATTAATTCTTCATATTCATACTCTTGGTCATCTTCATTATTTCTTTCAATAATTATATAATTTTTATTATTGATTGTTTCTTGCAGATTTATAAGTAATTCAGATTTTTGTTGCTTTGATTGACCAATTGTAGCTAAATATAAACGATAATTAGAATAAATATATACAAGTTTTAAAACATGTTCAGATGTTAGTCTATTTCTTTTTTTGGAATTGTAAGAATTCGAAGTGCTACTTCACATAGATCAGATATAACAGAACTGCAGTTTCCCTTCCACCAAATAGTTGGTGCAAGCTCAAATTGTGAATTCCAAATTAACGGGTTACTAAAAATTCCATCTTGTGCCTTATACTGTACTAGTTGGTTCCAAATATTTGTTGAATTAAGTGGATAATATTTTGAAATAAATGTTGATATAGTTGTAATGCTTGAAGATGGTAGGTATCGTCCAACAAGCCGTGGATCCAGAAGATAGGCAATTTCCATTACTGGATGATATAGCTTGTTCCAACGTTTTTTAAAAATCATATTAAGTTCAATACATGCATGTGAATTGCGAATCTCTACATAATTTATGTTACAATATAAATATAATATATATTTTATACTCAAATTAATAGTTAAATATATATAGTAATAATATATATACATACGTTCTAAGTTGTATAAATTATAAAACTATTCCCAAAATTGGGATAGTTTTGAATCATCACTCTCAAATGCTGCAATACCATTAACTAAATATTTTAAGATTTCTGCTAAATGAAAAGCCTCACGCCAATAATTTTCATCATGAATAATTGATACAATATTTTTATTAATTGTCGTATGTTGTATTAGCTCTGTTGAACTTAATATCAAAGCAAGTTTATTCGACAATACTGAATTTAGACAAATTGCAGCTGCACCCCAGCATGTTTTAACATGAACTTTTAGAGTAATTTTTTTACCACCATATTGTGCTACTTGATGTCGTTTTAGCACAGCATTTGGTATATAATAATCACAAAAAAAATTAACAATTTTTTTAGTGCTTGTAAAAATATTTTTAGCCTAATTGAGTTTCATAATATCGCCCACAAGTAGATTTAATCCGTGTGCAAGACAACCCATAAAAATTATAAATGGATACTGTTTTTCTACTATTTTCCAAGCACTTTTCATTACAGCTGCGTTGTCTGTAACTATTGCTAATAGTTTTTTACTGTCAACAGTTTTTATTATATTTACTATATCTGATGCAGTATTAACTGAATTTTGCTGAATTTCTCCAGTAGGTTTCGCAAAAATAAAAACAGGTTGAGGCGTTGCAAAAATAAAATTAGTCCAATGATCATGAACAATGCTTGACCTGCATACGTATTAACTAAAATTAGTAAAGTTAAATAATATATAAAACAACTAATTTACTATATATATAATTACCATCCGTCACAAATAAGTGTTAAAAAATCTGCTTCGTTAATGCATTGATTGATTTTATCCTTTGTTTCAGTGTAAATTTGATCTAATAAAGATCCTGTAAGCCGTCTTTATGTTGGAAATTTAAAAGAAGGATATACACAATTAAAAAGAGTTCTAAGTGGTTCCATTTCTAGAAAAGATAATGGTAAACCACAATAAAAAATAGCTTGGGCAAACAATAGTTCTAATTCATCTTGTTTAGGTTGTTGAATAGTTGAAATATGGTCAAAAATTTTGTCAACATTATATGATTTTGAAGATGAATTTTTTGAACTATTACGCTGAAAATCATTTCCAAAATATTGTTTCAATATTTCATTTGACACCATTTGACAATCATTATGCAAATGTGTCTCACATCAGCCTGCAGCTTCACTCAATTCATGATTACAATAATTACAATGAACACATTTTTTGGAAAAATCATCTACAACTCCTAATCTACTAAAATGTTCCCAAATTTGCTTTTTTGGTGACATTATTATACTTTAGAAATTCGAAAACAAAATAAACTTTATATTTATATCCTACTAATGATGACAATATGATATAATAGGATCATAATTTATTAATAAGCTGATTTGATATGTATTAATAAGCCGATTTGATTTAATTAAAAAAATATTAATATTTCACTAATTAATAAAATTATCTTAATCGCATAATTTACCTCTCATGTGAGGTTGATGTCATCCTGCGCAAGGTGCGTGAATCACATGTGTGCGAATTTTGTGATCTCGCGTGAAGTACATTTCTAGTTAGGAATACGAAAATTATGTGATTTAGTGATTAAACAAAATCACACTAAATCACATAATTTTGCTTCACTTATATTACGTTAGTATCATGTGCACTCGTTTTAAATTTATAGTATCATAATATTTTAAAATATATAATAAACCATGATAGTCTAATAGTATATAGTATGCTAAAACACCATAAATTTATCTTATAATTAGAAAGAGAATTTTGCTATTTTTAATAGTTCAAAGAACAACGAGTACTTAATTTAAAAATAACAATTAAGGTAATTTCATTAACTATAATAATTTTATTTTTAGATTAATTACTCTGATACGCTTACAAATTTTTATTAAAAGAAATGTTTTGTAACAATAAATAAATCAGAAACCGATAAATTTTTGTTTAGTCGAATGCAATATCTAACAAATTTTTATTAAAAAGTGTTTTTTAAAATAAATAATTAGAAACAGATAGGTTTTTGTTTAGTTGAGCGCAGTATTTAAAAAATAGCAAGTTTTTTTTACGAGATAAAATTGCTTAGTAAACATTATTAAATCGCATCAGTAAATCGAATATTTCATATATACCGCACGCATAATTTACAAATTCTTATCGCATAAATTCTGTGTTCTGATTTCGGCATGATCGATACATAATGATTTATGTTACGTTATTTATATATAAACTACATTGTATATAATTTGAAATATGAAATGCTGTAAACGAAGTCACATGGCATTCATTTATCACGAGACAGTGACCCAGGCCCATGACATCGAGGTGACGACTGATGGTGTTGGTTATATAAGTATGAGGTCATGGGAAATGGCTATTTAAGAGGAGAGGTGTGGGAAATTGTTCTCCCTCTTTTGTCTTTGCTGCTAGCTCGACGAAAGTCTAGCTTTGTCGTTAGTACCACGTGGTCAAATACAAAATGGAAACATGTACAAACCAAATAGTATTAGTATAAGATGGAAATCACTTACGGGGGTGCTACCAGTTGCAGTAACCTCAGAAAATGGTTCAAGAAATGGTTCGGAAGAGGAATTGTATCTGGGTTAAAAGTACACTGGACTGCTTGCCGTGAAAGCATTTAAGTTGCTGTGTAATAGTGAAGGTTTGTGGGAGGCTGGAACTAAAAGGGTTTTAGTCGAGAGGTTAGCAGGGAGAGTAGTTAGTGAGGCGAAAGGAAAGGGTAGCATGGGGAATAGTGTCGAGATAGGAATGCATGGAAAAGGGAAAGTGGCATTGGTTTAGAGGGTGTGGTTTTTGAAGATGGTTTTGAAAAAGGGTGGTAGCAGGTCAGAGGAGTGTTGGAGTGCAAGAGTAAGTAGCACCTAATTTGCAGTATATGGTTTTGGAGAGGTCTTTAGCAAGTGACATTGCAGGTGATAGTTAGAAGTCGTTATAGGAGATTAAAAGGAGTGTTCAGATGATGGGTAATACAGAGTGAAGAGGTCCATGGAGTTGGTCCTGATTATTTCAAGGAGGTCTCAGGTCGTATATCCCGAATAGGTTCTAGGATATGTGATAGGATCACCACCACCTTTGGAAATGGATTTGTCCGGTTAGGTTGTTGAACAGATATTGTAATGTTATATGTGGACCCTAGTTTGACTGGTTAAAGATAGATGGTCGGTAGCAGTGATGTGAGGAGGGGTGTCGTTAACTTAAATTAGTAACATCGGAGGATGAATTTGAGGACAACTATGCTGTAATTGGGATGGTGAAAGCAAGAGCATTGGTAGGAATAGGTTTTTGAGGGGTTATATGTAAGCCAGATAAATTGGGAATCTATGCACACTGTGTATGTATTTCGAGAGTGAAGAAAAAGAGAACGCAATTTGATTCTCTTGATGATCTCATATGTGTATTTCATAGTCATGTGGTTGGAATGGGTCGAGTGACAAATGAAATGCTGTAAACGAAGTCACATGGCATTCATTTGTCACGAGACAGTGACCCAGGCTCATGACATCGAGGTGACGACTGATGTTGTTGGGTATGTAAGTATGAGGTCATGGGAAATGGCTATTTAAGAGGAGAGGTGTGAGAAATTGTTCTCCCTCTTTTGTCTTTGCTGCTAGCTCAATGAAAGTCCAGCTTTGTCGTTAGTACCCGCCCACCCACTTCTAAGTGAGAGCTTTGTGAGTTCGGTGGTCTTAACCTGGGCTGAGACTCAGCTTGTGATATACGTAAGTTGATATTTGGTAATATGAAGTGTTTGTAACAGATCAATATGAGGTTATAAGGGATGGTTATTTAAGAAGAAAAGAGTAGAGAATTGTTCTCCCTCTTTTGTCTTTGCTGCTAGCTTGGTGTGAGTTTAGTTTTGTTATTAGTATCACCCACCCACCACTGGGAAGATCTTTGACATAGAGGTGATGACTGGTAAGTTTGAGGTAATGGTGACGGGTATTGTGGTATAAGAAGTGGGTAAGTATAATGTATTGAATTGGAGTTATGTAAGTATGAGGTCATGAGAAATGGTTATTTAAGAGGAGAGGTGTAGAAAATTGTTCTCTCTTTCTTGATGCTAGCTCGGTGAAAGTCTAGCTTGGTCGTTAGTACCCACCTACCTACCACTAGCTGGGAGCTTTTGTGGGTTTGGTGGTCTTATGGAGGGCTCGATAGCCTGGGTAAACATCCCGAATATCGAAGGTCTGTAACTCAGCCCATCATGTGGGCTGGCATTTGGGTAATGTGAGGTGTTTGTGGCTGTTGAGGAAAAGGAATTAGATACCGTTTATCATGAAGCCATGAACCGGGTCTTGATGGAGTTGATGAGTGGTAAGTATGAGTTGTTGGTGATGGGTATTATGAATTTAAGAAGTAAGAATAAGGTATTGTGTGAGAGATATTGGCTCAGTGGAGTAAGTATATATGACGGATATGAAAAATAAATAAGGATAAGGTATTGTGTGAGAGATGTTAGTTCAATTGGGTCGGTATGAAGTTATAAGAGATGGTTATTTAAGAGGAAAAAAGTAGGGAGTTGTTCTCTCTATTTTGTCTTTGTGCTAGTTCAGTGCAGTCTAGTTTTGTCGTTAGTACTTACCTACCTGCCACTGGGAAGATCTTGGTAGGTTAGATTGACATACAGGTGTGGTCAATAGCCCGAGTGGACAACCCGGATATTGGCTGTGTAGTCTGATCAGGCAGGCCGGATGTTGAAACAGAAATGATTGTCGGGCACAATTCTAGGGTCCCTGGTCATGAGTTCAACCATATCTCATGGGTAGAGGGATGAGAAAATAAGGTTTGATTAATTGTGAGTTTGGTTTTGATAGCCCGGGTAAGCCGCCCGGATATCAAAGGAAAATAATTGATAGCCCGATCAGACAGATCAGATGTCAAAGAGAAGAATGGTAGTAGCAGGGGTAGAGGGATGAGAAAATAAGGTTTGTTTAATCATGAGTTTGGGTTTTGATAGCCCGGGTAAGCCACCCGGATATCAAAGGAAAATAATTGATAGCCCAATCGAACAGATCGGATGTCAAAAGAGGAGAACGGTAGTATACAATGCTATAGGACCAGCTGTAGACCACGTGAGCAGCGAGGCGAAATCCCATATGTGTATTTCATAGTCATGTGGTTGGAATGGGTCGAGTGACAAATATATGTTTTCACACAGACTAAACACACTACAGCACTAAACATGTTGGGCAAGTATTTAACCGAAAATTTAGTAATATTTAATGTGCCATTTTATAATGTTAAAATTATCGTAGAAAAGTATCATATATAATGCATATGTCTTTTATATATTGGCAGTATATAGTGTGGAAATTTGCGTGTAAATTTCTGTTATGTAATTTTTGTTATGTAAATAACGTTGTCCAGAACTTTAGTATAGCTGGCACACGAAGTCTATTAATGCTGGCAAAATTTTTGTAATGCAGGTCAATAATCATGGGCTACTATAATTTGTAATTTTACTGAATCTATTATGCCGGCCGAAAAATCATTCAGCAGATTTGAAAACAGCTGCAAAAGATTATCACTGCCGAATCAAATCGACAAATATTCGGTCGGTCAATTTTTGCCAGATTTCCAGAATTTATGAAAACTGGGTTATAACGGATCATACGAAAATTCATTAAATTTTGAAAGCTAATCCTTAAAAGCTAATATAACGACTCGTTCAGTATAGTGAGCAACTTTTAATCCAAATATTAAACTGGAACTTTTAGATTTTGTATTGAAAAATTCTCGATCTTGCTCGTAATTTGAGTTCGTTTCTACATTGGGAAGTACCGGATTACTGTATTTTAACAGGCCAATTTTCGAACCTTCATTCCAACTTCGTTTACTCGAAATTGAGAATGTCGGATAATAAGATCGACAATTCATTTCTGTTTATTTTTTATCTGATTTATTATTATTTTAATTTAGGATCTGAAGTTCGTTGCCGTATACAGTTATCAGTTATTTTTCTTTAACTGTTAATATAATTCAGTTATTCTGAAACTTCAAATCTCGATCATATTTAGTGTTTTTGGAACATATAAAACGTCCAATGTGAATTGATGTTTAATCGAGATCGCTTGAAATTACATAATCATTATGTTAACTGTAAGCTTCCACTAAATGTTAAATTTATACACAATAAATTTTCATATGATTGGATTCTTAATCCAAGAGCTTAGTTCGACATTTGGTGTAAATTGAATTTTTTTATAGCTAATATATACTTAAAAAGCAATTTGTAAAAATTAATTCTCCACGTATTTTATCATTATATGTAGCCTAATTTGTGGCTAATCTGTTCAGGTATTTTCTCGTCAATGAAACATATATCTACTTATAAAGCATCTAATTTTAAAATAAAAATAACTACATAAAGATAATTAAACCAATTTTTGGTTTAAACAAGTCAGTTTTAAACTAAAAATTTAAGTAAATTTAGTATAAATATGAATTCTTTATTTTTATTAATGTGCCAGAATCAAATCTTGCAAAGCCAATACCTTGAGAAAAATAAATAATTTTGTAAAATGCAATTGAAATCCTGTAGGATAAATAGAATAAAATTACATCATAAGCGAAGTTACAGTATGTTTAACAGAAAAAAAAAATATATTATTCTACGAAAATATTATGTATCATAGTAATTGCACTATAAAGCATTAAAATAATTTACAAGAAATTACACAAATTATTAAATCATGCGAGACATCATATCTTCAAAAATAAGCTTTTAGATCCCAAAGAAACATGTTTAGGTTTGATATCTGGTGCGGGAGGATGTTTGCTGTAACGTTATAAAAAGGAAGTTATGCATAAGGATTTTATTCAACCGTTTCTTCTGACGGTATGGTTAAGGCATTTAAAACGAAAAACCTAAAAAGATCACCTAAATGGGTAAAAATAAATTGCAAAATTGTAAATAAGTAATTGTATAAATTTAGAATATAAAAGCTTTTGATATCAATAATCTTGCCTAAGCATCGCACTATTTACACATATATAATAAGCTCATTACGATGAAACATCATAAAACCGGACCAAATTTTTTTTTATTCTACCGAAACCTTTATTACAATGGATGTGTAATTCGTACCCAGTTTTAATACCGAAATTGATGAACGATCAGAGATCGCACCCGAGTTTGTGGACATCATATTAGTATTTATGGATAATGGTGAAGCCAAAGTTTCAACTACTTGCGAACCGGTTGCTTGTGTGGGAAGAACTCGTCGAATGGCAAGTGATTTTAGCAATTTAAGTTCCTGTTGCAGACTAGTAAACAATTTTTCTTGAGAATCTTCAGATTCTTCAAGCAGCTGAGTTATTGTAAAGAATATAATTTAGATATAATCAGAAGACATAATCATAGACAACATAACTTACCTTTGGAATTAAATTCCGTATTGAATCCATATCTTCTTTTAAATTTTCTAATTCTATGTCTTCTCTTTCTTCATAAGATTTCAAATCTCTCAACACGTTATCTAGTATCTTTAATATTTTGGTAACTTCAAATGATTGTTCTTTTAAGCTCTTTTTGATAATTTGCGTATCAAACTTCAAGACATCTAAATTTGCTATGGTGGTTGTAAATTGATCTGAAAATAACTGTTTGTCGTGCTCAAGGTCATCGGATGTTAATGCTCCCAAAAAAGAGGTGATGTAATTCTGTAAAAAAAAGTCAAAAAAAATATATATAATTTCATACAACAAAATTTTTAAGGGATCGATTACAAGTTGTAGCACACCTTTGCAACCGATGTTATTGCATATCCGATGCCACCAATTAATACAGCTGCGATTGCATAATCTTTCCAGTCAATTCTTGGAATTGAAGATTGAGTGTAAGTTATTTGTTCAGAAAATGAATTTTTATTAGGTTGTGACAGAAACACTTCTTGTACATCACTAGTTATATCTTCATAATTGGCTATCCTTAACGCTTCTTCGATCTCATCTGATGTCAAACC